AGTCAGTGTGTCTGTATGAACCCCTCTCTCTCTCAGTGCAGTGTTAATGTACTGGAGTGTCCAGTCAGTGTGTCTGTATTAACCCCTCTCTCTCTCTCAGGTCCTGATCCAGCTACAGTGGTCCCTGACAGCAGTGGGTGTCAGTGAGGCTGGAGATTCGAACCCTGAGCAGTTGACCTCACTGTGTACAGAACCTGGACTGACTGACACCCCTCACTGACCCGGAGTGATCCGGACAGCTGGACTAGACGAGGGGGGTGCTGAGGTGACCCAGTGCGCTGTGGACCTGCCAGACCTGGCCTCCTCCTGTTCCCCTCCTCCGGCGGCCAGTGTTGGGGCGCCCCCCCCTGGTTTTGTGGACAGTCCTTTCAGGGGTCTGAGTTATTTTTTGTTACCCCGGTCTTCTTGAGGGGAGACCAGGTCAGCCTGACCAAGAGAGCGTGAATCTGGGGTACCCCTTTCTTTTGGTGCAGTGTGTCCACAAGACCCTCCCCCCCAGCGATATGGGGGTCCCCCGCTCCCCATCCGTGCAAGAGTGCCTGTGTCCTGCTGGTTCCGGATCTCGGGGCTCCGAGGGGTGCCTGGGGCGCCTGTGACGCTGCCCGCTCGGCACGGGTCCGAGCCGCGGTGCTGTTCCTGGGTCTGTCTGGGGACTCCTTCGGGATCCCCCACTTGGAAGTCGTTCCAAGTCCCTCATCACGATTCCGAGCGACTCTTGCGCGAGGGGGACGCGCCGCTGGCGCCGCCCTGTGGGCCCCGGCGGGCGTGGCGGCGTGGGGCCGTCGCGCGGCGCTGCAGAGGAGCGAGCAGTCGCTCGGGACCAGGCTGTCCGGGGTGAGTCATGGCACGGGCGCTTGGGGAGTTCACTGCTTTTTCTAAACTGGTTTGATGTGTTTGTGTACATGAGAACAGGTTTCTAATAAAGGTTTGTCAAGAAAAGCTCCCGTGTTCGATATTCGTTCTTTTGAGTCCTGTGCTGTGATTGGTGGAGGGTGTGGGTGTGCACTGTCGTGATTGGTGGAGGGTGGAGTGGGTGCACTGTCGTGATTGGTGGAGGGTGGAGTGGGTGCACTGTCATGATTGGTGGAGGGTGTGGGGGTACCAGGCTGTGATTGGTGGAGGGTGTGGGGGTGCCGAGCTGTGATTGGTGGAGGGTGTGGGGGTGCCCTGTCATGATTGGAGGGGGGTGTGGGGGTGCTGGGCATTGATTGGTGGTGGTGTATGGTTCTGGGGTTGTTCAGCAAAGGGGGATCTGTGGGTCTGTGGGAACAGAACTCCCCCCCAGGCAGCACTAATTTGGCTGAGTGTGAGCTACTGCCTGCTGGCTGGGGAGTGTGGCATCCCCTCAAATCACACTCGCATCTGTGTGTGTACAGCGTCTCTGTGTGTGTGTGTATCTATTATGTGTCAGCAGCATGTGTGTGTATATATATAGACTGGGTCTGTGTGTGTATACAGTGTGTATGTACAATGTGTGTGCTGTGTGTGTACACAGTGTGTGTGTGTAAGTACTGTAGATCTGTCTCTCCCTCCTCCTCCTCCCCCTCTCTCCCCTGCCAGCGGCTCCATTGATCTCGCGGCGGTAATAGATTTGTTTCTGAGCCTCAATTAAAGCCTCGCGATTAACTCGCTTGTCGATACGGACACGCGCCTGGAGCCCCGTGGCGTCACGCGGTGACGTCACACCGCTGCCCCCGCGCCCGCCGCCCCTTGCAGACTCCCGCGCTCAAACTTCGCAAAACTTGTATTTCTGTTGCCCAGTCCAGGCGTCTGAGGGGTGTGTTTTGCTTTTGTTTTTCTGCTGGATTCCCCGGTTTGTCATTTACGTTCGTGTGGGTTTTGCAGGCTGTCGCTCAGTCCTGTTTGTGGCAAATCCATCACAGTTAACAGCTCTGTCGCTTTCTAATGATTTAATTGCTTACTTACTGTACATCTGAGTCTGTCTCCTCCAGTGTCTTCCTCTGTGTGTCTTTTATCTGTGAGTGCCTTTCCTAACGTGTGTGTCTGTGTGTGAGCTTGTCTCTGTATCTGTGTTTCTGTCTGTGTGAGTGTGTGTTTCTGTCGGTATGTGTCTCTGCGTGTCTCCATGTGTTTCTGTATCTCAGTGTGCATCTCTACCGCTGTGTGTCTGTGTGTTTCTGTTTGTGTGTGTATTTCTGTTTCTCTGCGTGTGTCTCTGTGTGTGTTTCTGTTTCTCTGTGTGTTTGTGTGTTTCTGTCTCTGTCTCTCTGTATTTCTGTGTGTGTCTGTGTGTGTGGATATTCTCCCTGCTCTCTGTGAAGCTGATCTCTGCAGTGCTGTCAGTCCGCCTGACCGCTGCCCGAGTTCCAGCGAGACTCCGCTGGTCGGCGCTCCAGACGGTGAGGACCGCGTGCTGGGGGGGGGTCGGTCGGTCGGTCTCGGGGAGGTTGTCGGGTCTCGAGCCCTCTCTGCTCTGGCTCGTGTGTGCGCGCGCGCATATCCCCCCCCCCACACACACA